CTTCTCTGTTACTCCCATAAAGTAGCTACCAATTATCATCCCCATTTACAAAAAAGGAGTAAGTATAAATGAGGCGGATAAGTGCTTTTTACAAACGTCAGTAAATAGGAAACAAAACCTGATTTTCTAAATTTCATTAAGGAATGTATTAAAAAGATGATGGTTATCAACAATTTCTTTCAAGTAGGTCTTGTAATTTCTCAGAACAGATGCTGTAATCAGAAGATGGACTAATGAGAAGTGTGGATGCCCGGAAGAGCCGCAGCAGGGGTTCTGGCTGAGCACCACTCCATGAAATACTACACAGTCCAGTTCATCCAATTTTCAAATGTAAGCTAGTCAGTTTATATTATTTTGGATTCCAATATCCTCACTTCTTCCACAGTCCTGGAAAAATATTGGTATTTATGATCAAACTGACCTTTTCATACTCCACTCTTCCCAGTAGTGTGTAAAAAACCAATTAGCAAGGGAGGTACTAGGAACCCAAACGCACTGGGAACTCTCAGAACCCCTACCGTTACAAGTAGTTTTACAACCATCTCTTTTGGTGATATGAACAGAGTTCACATCCTTCAGAAAGTGCTAGAGAGAGGAACGGTTAGAGAAACGTCCAACTGGCCTCAACTCAATCACCTCGAGATGGATAGAAGCCCCTCACGTTTTCAGGATTCAGCTGAAGGACAGAGCTTACGAACGGGTAATTTTCTAGAAAACAAGGCTTTTGGCATCCAAACCTTCAGTGCATCACAAACTTCCTATTATCTAATACCCACACCCCCCAACTCAGCCATCACTGTTTCTATGGTAACCGACAGAGAAATAGCAGCCTGCCAAATGGCTTTTGTAGTTCCTTTTCCAGCTTGTTTTTCAGTATAGAATTAAAACTATACTGGGAAAAGGACCAGACTACTCTTTACAACAGGGACACGATGCAGTTTGAAAAGTACAACTGGGTTTGGGACACGAGCGTAGAAAAGCTTTAACGAGCCCAGCTTGGGAGAATAAAAAAAAGTTCTTGGGGCTTCCCTGGTGGCACAGTGGTTAAGAACTCACCTGCCAATGCAGGGGACATGGGTTCGAGCCCTGGTCCAGGAAGAACCCACATGCCATGGAGCAACTAAGCCCATGCGCCACAACTACTGAGCCTGCGCTCTAGAGCCCGTGAGCCACAACTACTGAGGCCCGCATGCCTACAGCCTGTGCTCTGCAACAAGAGAAGCCACCACAGTGAGAAGCCCGCGCACCGCAACGAGGAGTATCCCCCGCTCGCTGCAACTAGAGGAAGCCTCTGCGCAGCAACGAAGACCCAATGCAGCCAATAAATAAATAAATTTACAAAAAAAAAAAAAAAGGTTCTTAGTTTCTAAAAAATGTCTACTGAGGTATATTTGGAAAGCTTTATTTTTGTCTTAAGACAGTGTATCCTGACATTGGCCTGAAGATGGATATGATGCTATTCATTCAGGTTGAACTGAATTAACAAAAGAAGGGATGGGGTGAATGCAAGAGCAAGTCTACTATGCCCCCAAGTACCTTATTATCATTAAAGGAAGTGGTAATTGACTCTAAAATCAAAATGAATGAGCAGGAGTTGACAAACTTGGACCAGAGGACAGTGAAACGAGGATCAGCATCTTGGAGTGGAGTGAATGTTAATCCTAGGGGTGACGCATGCATGAAGCTGCCTGAGCCATCTGCATGAACCAGAGGGGCACTGATGCTTAGGAAACAAAGATCTCCTTACCATCTCAGCACAGCGAGAAATTGTTAGGAATGCAGTGTGTGGAACTGGGGCAGCTTTCAGAAGATCAGCAGCTATAGAGAACTACTACTTAAGGTGCCAGACTGCAAAACAAACAGCTGCTGCAGGGGTGGAGGAGTTTGAATGTTAAAAAATAAAAATAAAAAAAAAAAAGGCTAATTCTGTTTGAAAGTGGCCCCAAACAGATGCTTTTCTGTCTCAAAACTGCATACTTGAATGAGGTACAGGCAATCTCACGATTCCTCTATGTCAGCTTTAGGTGAGAAACTTTGACTCAAGTCAAGCAGGTATTACCTTCTTCTCCTCTGATAGTTTAAAACGAACTGGATTTTGAAAGAGATGCCCTCCCACAACCTCTAGCACACTCCAAATGTCTTGATGACAGACATGAAAATTACAATCTATAGTAGCATAGCGAGACAGGTTCCTAGGAGCTACAGAAAGTCAAGACTCCTACAAATTCCACACGGAAGACTAATTTATACTTTCTATTTTATGCTTTTACTTTGAGTTGTACAATATGAATCATGAGCCATGTTCTCAAAGCTATCACCACAGTTGAGAAAGAAAAGTAGACTGATTTGCAATAAACTTTTCCTTTCAATCCTTCAGAAAAGGGATCATTATCCTGTGATAAAGATGATGTACTCTAAGATACATTTCCAAGGATGTCAACTCAAAGAAAGGCTTCTGCACTTTAAGTTTAGCTAGATTTGTGGAGCCCATGATTTTTAAAATCTGTTAAAGAAACTTGAAGAAATCCTTCCAAAAGTTCAAACCTGGGTTTTGATTATCCAAGAATGGACTTTATGGGTTCTGGAGGAAAAAAGTAATTTTAAAACTATATTCATTAATGCATGATTATAATTTCCCCATCTTAAACAAAAGCCAGATTTGAAGGAATACACAACTGCATCAAATTCAATCATAGTTAAGACTATGCTGGAAGCCAAAACTTATTAGAGTCAGTAACCTGACATACTGACACATTTATATTTCTTCCCAAATCTGTTTCCTCAGTCAACTTTGTTTCAGACAAATTTTCTTACTTATCAGATCTGTATTTTCATCAAATCAGCTACCATAGTTACAGTGCAGATTCCCCTGCTACTAGTGGACAATTAAAGGGACTTAACCACATTTTCAGTGTTTCACGGCCTGTGCTTTCACTCATGTTCACCAAAATAGACTCTAAGAAGCCTTGAGAAGACAATGTTTCAGTAAGTATGGTCACAGAGATTTTGTTCCAAATGGTTGCCTTCAGAAACAATGCTAAGTGGTAGTTACATTTTCCATCCACACACGAACCTATAACATAACTGAATTATATTACCAAGAAATAGCTCTTGATCACCATGAATACGTTTTTATATGAGAAAATGAAGACCTTCAGCTGCCTAGAGGGGAAAAAGAATAGTGGTATTCTGGGCACCGGAACACTGTTAACGCTTAATAGTTGGAAACTGCTGGTACAGCAAAATTAATTATCCAGAAAGCATGCTTTGGGAATTTTTAAGCTTAAAATCTATAAACAGGCCAAAAATGTTTTCAAAAAGGGATGATGGTGGTGGTGGTGAATGTACGTGTACAGAGAAGCAGTAACTGAATACTTAAATACTTGGCAACAAAGAAAATAACAGCAAAGACTTGGAGACTCGGATTACACCAAAGATTATATTGGACACACTACAGCTTGTTTTCCAATCAGAAAGCTGGACGGATAACTCCGGGAGGGGGGCAGAGCACTAGCACGGGACAGATCAGGAGCTCCAGGAGGGGAAAGATGACTTCACCTTACTTATCCATTGCTGTAGCCCCAGCTCCCAGGACCATGCCTGGCAAAAAGTTTGCGTTCTGTATGCCTGGCTTGAGAAGAGGGTCTGAACTTTAAAATGAGACACGTGGTGTTTCTCCACTATTCATACAACAGGAGACTTACTAAGGGCAGGATGAATTCTTCACATGTGTGAACCTGGGATTTAACTGAGTGGAAGCCTACATACGAAAGCATAACCATACCTTGCTTCTCAGGTGGTACTCCCTGGTACATGAGAAGGCTGCCTGCCAGTGAAACCGTGAAGGTATTCAAAGTGCTCAGGGAGCAAGTTCCCTCAGTAAGTCACTGGCAACTGACAATCCCTCACTAACACAGACTAAAGTTTCTGTGCAAACAAAAGCAAAGAAAACCCAGTCAACAGAAAATATACCAAGGAAGGGTGCTTAATGGCATAAATGCAAAACAACACAATATGCTTCAAAATTCCATGCTTGGAAACCCAAATACGTGTCAGAAAAACAGCCCAAAGAAGTATATCTGATGCAGAACAGACACAAGCACTGACTGCCTGATAATTATGTGGTCTGGATTAGGTCATACTCAAAACACAGCCTTGTAGGCCTTCCACACTGACTGGGTCTGGTTTAATGTTATAAACAAAATGACTGGGAACCTTGGTTAGAAAAAAACCACAAATCCTGGAAATAAGATAATTTGGTAGAGGTTTGCTCTTTCCTTAGAGTTTCTACTATCCTTCTATCTACCTTAGTCCTAAAGTTCTATACTTTTTGATTTAAAAATACTAACAGCCCTCGTAACCCTCAAATGTCTTGTAACATAGGTAAGAGCTGGGCTGGACAACTAAAGTTATTCTACAGTTTAGCCACTGCTTGTCTGATAATCTGGCTTGAATTTCCTCTCTGAAAGAGTTACAGAGCCATCTGGATTTCAGGAACAGGCTAAGAAGGCAATGAGGATGCATGTGATGCTCTCTCACAAAAGAGAGGCAACACTGCCATGAAGAACACTTACTTAAAATTTCAGGGGTATCTTCCTTGAGACTCCCTTCCTTTGCCTCCTTGCCCCCACTAACTTGAACCTTGCCTTTATAAGCCCTCCTTCCTAGCATTTATCATAATTCCAATTACTTGAGTAATTAGTAGTATCTGTATACCCCCGTTTCCATGTGGACAGGGACCATGTCTGTCCTTTCCACCAATGCAAATAAGCCTCTAGCATGTGGCACGCGGCAGGCAGTTTCTGTTGCATAAGTAAATGAACGAATGGCTTCTCTGGAAGTCAAAAGTTAACCATGGGGTAAGCAATCAGTTGAAAATATTTCATCAACAAAACACATACTCCAATCCCCTAAATCCGAAAATAGGAGCCTTTTAGAGCTCAGTTTTTTTCACAGAATATTAGATGGCAGGAGGAACATAAAATAAATAGACTACTCACTGGTGGGGGCTTCTTTCTCATCTCAAACATGCGTGTGGCACCAAAACTGAGTGAAGCAATGATGGGGCACCTCCCCAACGAAGGTTCGTCATCACTATGCCAGTCCACGCTGTCCTTCTCATTTCGGTAAAGATTGCAAAGCAAGGAGTTGAAGGTGTGGCCAGTGTTCTCTTCAATTTGGTTCTTCAGCATGAGCAGCACAGGATGCCACTGCAATCAACAGGCCAAGAAAAAGGGCAGAGACAGTTCACTAAGACACGAGGTGGCAGCCACGTGGAAAAATAGGAAGGGCAAAATCAGTCATGTTATAAACAGGGGCATGAAATAAGCAAACCAGCGGAAACGTAATAAACATAAGGCTAGAAGAGTAGTTTAATTCTCTCCTGTTATTTCTATTTTGAAGCAAGCTGACCTCTACACTTTTATTAAGGTACTAAATTTGGTATAGAATGTCATGAAGACCAGGCCTATCCACCCATCTCATCCTTTCCATGTTAAATATATGACACTCGCAGAGAAGCAACTGTCAATACACTCAGGGCAGTCACCTCAGTAAGTCACTGAGGTATCGTGTGGAGCAGTAAGCCTGGTTTGTCACCACAGCTGACGGGCCACCAAGAGTTAGCAGATGCAGACTGAGGCCTGAGGAGTGAAACAACTCTCCTGCTGGGTGGCCCTCTGTTCCATTCCTATTTTATCAGGAATGGCAGAACTGCTCTTTAAAAAAGGTATTTAATATTTCCAGAGTGGCAAACTTCCTAAAAACAGAACCTAGAGGGGAAAAACATTCTACAGAATGGAATCATAACATGGCTGTGCTCTACAGAAGATTTAAACAGAGACCACAGCCCTGCCTGCTGAGCACCGAGTTCACCCCTGTTTGTATGCGGAGCTCAGCATCTTGCCACACATACTTTAGGAAGCTATGACCTCTAAGCTTGGGTTGTAGTTGGGGGCTACAATGAGCACAGCTCTGGTTGTGGTTCTTGTTAGAACTCTATGTCCTGCCTCCAGGAAACCTCAAGTGCTTTACAGAGCTTCCTGGAGAACAGGAGTTCTCACACCACTAGCAAAGATTATTGAGGTGGGAATTCCCTGGAGGTCCAGTGGTTAGGACTCCGTGCTTTCACTGCTGAGGGCCCAGGTTCAATCCTGCAAGCCATGAGGCACGGCCAAAAAAATAATAATTACTGACGGCCCCAAAGAACTTCTGTATGTATGGGTTACAGATACAACAGTTACCATATTAAAAATTAAGACTAAAAAAAATTTTAATTTTTGGTTAATTCATTTAAAAAATAACCTCATTACATGTTAACGTATTATTTTATGAAAATTAACTATTTTCCAATACAAAAAATTGGTGAGAAGAGTGGTACTGTTTTGCAAATCTCTTTAATGTCTGACTTAATAGTTGATTCTAATATCTGCTTCTGCATTTAATCTGTTACAATATGTTGTTTCTGTTGAAGCATACGAAGAAAACTGCCTTCACACAGGTATGTAGTTAGAAAAAGGAAGAATCTTTTATAGCCTTTTCAAATAATTGTAAATATTCTTTGACATTACACCAAAACTCAACTGAACTGATTTCTTAAAGGTTAGATGCAATGGGGAATCTGAAACTACATCAACAAACGTTTCATATTGTTACATCTAAGTCCACTGGTCTAGAGTGCACTTTGAATGGATGTTTTAATCTTGCATGATTCTGTAACATCAAGCATTGGTCATTTGGAAAATATTGGCTGAGTTATGCAGACCCTTTTAATACTGACATATTTCGTTATACAATAACAAAAAAACATCTCCAATATCAAAAAATCAAAAAACCACTGATCTCTTCAGAAAAAGCTAAGTAAAGGGAAGAGGTCAGGCTCAAGGTGGTGGATATGAGTTTTTCCAGAATTCCTAATATTTCCTTGAAACTTCAAGTTTTATCATTAGTGACAAATCTTGTCCATTATTTTCCTGGAAGTGACACTTCATTCATTTTTGAGAAAATGTGTGCTGAATACTCAAGTCTGAATAACTAGTTTGTGTGCCAGCTGCTCTTCCAAGTAAAATGGTCCATGACAAAAGTAGCTCATTCAGCTTACAGCTTAAACAATCACACAAGTGTTTTTCCTCGACAACCATCATACTTGGTTTGTAGGAATGCCTTATGCATAATTTCCATTTCATCAAACAATTAAAAAAGATCAAGACTTAATAAAACTAATAGTGCTTACTCCTTCATCAAGGGACATCCTTAAAGGAAATCAGCATTTTTTCTTGTTTTTGTTTTTACTGGAAGTGCAGGTAGTAAAGAAAACAATGATTACCAGTACAGTTTGGTAGCAGTGTCTTGATTCATGCTAAGGCACCGGCAATTTTATTCACCATTACTTTTGTATCACTAGTGCAAATTCAACACAGTGAAAAATGTCACCTAGTCTTAGCATTACCATAAAAATATCTTTGACCTTGTGGATTCCCAGAAAGAATTTCGGGGACTTCCTCCAGGGATCTACAGACTCTACTTTAAGAACTACCACTTTAAAGAAGCCCTTCAAGGACTTCCCTGGTGGCACAGTGGTTAAGAATCCGCCTGCCAATGCAGGGGACATGGGTTCCATCCTTGGTCCGGGAGGATTCCACATGCTGTGGAGCAACTAAGCCCATGTGCCACAACTACCGAGCCTGCACTCTAGAGCCTGTGAGCCACAACTACTGAGCCTGCACTCTAGAGCCCGTGAGCCACAACTACTGAGCCTGCGTTCTACAGCCCGTGAGCCACAACTACTGAGCCTGCGCTCTAGAGCCCATGAGCCACAACTACTGAGCCTGTGCTCTAGAGCCCGTGTGCCACAACTACTGAAGCCCGCATGCCTAGAGCCCATGCTCCGCAACAAGAGAAGCCACTGCAACGAGAAGCCCGCGCACCGCAACGAAGAGCAGCCCCCGCTCGCCGCAACTAGAGAAAGCCTGAACGCAGCAACGAAGACCCAATGCAGCCAAAAATATAAATAAATAAATTTTAAAAATAAATTTAAAAAATGAAAATAAGGAACCCCTTCAAAGTCCACGTTCTATGTTTGAAAGCAAAGACATGGATGTTCAGCAAAGGAAAGCATAATGTCCTTATAAGGTATATCCTGTGACTATTGTCAGGTAACACTTCCAGGGAGTATATGTGGAAATCACTCAGCTTCCCTGTCACATGGAAATCATGGTAAAAGCTGGCATTCCAGGTGGGAGGGAGGGAGACACAAGAGGGAAGAGATATGGGAACATGTGTATATGTATAACTGATTCACTTTGTTATAAAGCAGAAACTAACACACCATTGTAAAGCAATTATACTCCAATAAAGATGTAAAAAAAAAAAGCTGGCATTCCTTGTTATGGATATTAGCATTATATTCTAAGCAGAGGATTTTATGTATTTATTTTATTGAAGTAACACTGGTTTATAACATTATATAAGTTTAATGTGTACAACATTATATGAGTTGGCCAAAAAGTTCGTCCGGGTTCTTCCAAAATTTCTGTTTCTATATACCATACTGCGTGCTCAACACCAAAAATTTAGTTTCCATCCATCTCCATACAGCTGATCTCCTTCATCCATTTTGCCCTCCATTCTGCCCCTTCCCCTCTGGTAACCACCACTCTGTTCTTTGTATCTACGTTTGGTTTGTTCATTTACTTTATTAGTTTTTTATATTCCACATATGAATGAAATCATACGGTATTTGTCCTTCTCCACCTGACTTATTTAACATAATACCCACAAGGTCCATCCATGGTCTCACAAATGGTAAGAGTTCATCGTTTTTTAAATGGCTGAGTAGTATATATATACCATATCTTCTTTATTCATTCATCTGTTGATGGGCACTTAGGTTGTTTCCATATCTTGGCTATTGTGAATAATGCTGTGATGAACACAGGGGTGTACATATTAGTGTTTTCATATTCTTTGTATACATAACCAGAAGTAGGATAGCTGGATCATATGGTAGCTCTACTGTTAATTTTTTGAGGAATCTTCATACTGTTTTCCATAGTGGCTGCACAATTCCCATCAACAGTGTAAGAGGGTTCCCTTTTCTCCATAGCCTTACCAGCACTTGTTATTTCTTGCCTTTTTGATAACAGCCATTCTAGCAGGTATGAGGTGATATCTCATTGTGGTTTTGATTTGCATTCCCCTAATAATTAGTGATGCTGAGCATCTTTTCATGTTGTCCATTTGTATGTCTTCTTTGGAAAAATGTCTCTTCAGCTCCTCTGAGAAGAGGATTTTAAAAAATAAACAGCAATAATAACAGACAAAACTTAGAACAAGAAAACAAATGTTATTAAACTAACACAGGTTAGTTCAAGAGAATAAGTTTCAAAGTAAAATTCCATAATAATGTTAGCAAGCTGTATTTCCTATTTATTTTATGACTTAAGCTTATCTTCATGGCGATAAAGATCAGATGCTAGAATTATACACTTAACAAGAAACACAAGAATGTAAAGGAGGAGGATGAGAGCTTTTCGGCAATGTGACTGAGAAACTAATTAGCACTTCCTTGCCTTGCTTAGGGACTGAGCACTGTGATAACACCAAGTCTGCATTATGTTTCTAAGTGGATATATATTTTTTCTTGGTTATTTTTGGTGGTGAAGGAGAAAAGGAGAAAAAAAGGAAATAATGAACTAGAGGATTAACTTAGACTCTCCAACCAATACTCTATATACAGATCCCTCAGAAGTGAACGTCTATATTAAAATTCAGAGTCATCTCACTGTTCAGTGAATACATTCTATCCTTAAAAGACATTTGAGGAAATGAGTATGAGAAAATATGAATCACAAATGTAAAAGGACCTATTCAGTGGATTTCAAACAGTGTTTTGTAGAGACGTAGGTACCACAGAGATGTCTCTGGGATCACAGCAGGAGAAAGAAGAGGTCAAGCTGGTAGGACTGCCAGTCAGTCGAGATACTCTTTTATTTTCATACATTGGGTTCATACAAGATTTAGTTTGAAAAAAGACTAAAAGGAGTTTAATTACCTATGGTTGAATCTCTTCCTGTGCTATAGGATACTAAACTTGAGATAATAACAACTTTAAACTAGTACCCCCAACACATATATACACATTAGGGAATCCCCCCTTAAAAAAAATCTGAGGCATCACTTTTGACTTTGTTCCAGATGGTATACAAACTAAATTAGCAATAAATGCAAAGTTATGAGCCAGCCAAATTCAAATTAAAAAACTCTAATTTGACAACCTTAATATCCAACAAAAGAGGCTTGCTTGAATAAATTATGCTACACATAGATTATGGAATACTATGTACCTATTAATACAATGTTGTAGAATAATATTTAATGATACTAAAATATGTTAATGATACAGTAAAATGAAATGTAGTATATAAATAATTGATTTTATAGAAAAATCCTCTACATATATTTGCCTAAAAAAAAAGAAAAAAAAGACTGGAACCAAAATATCAGGTGGAACTATTATCCAAAATTTTAATATTCTTCATATTTATCTGTAGCTTCTAGATTTTCAATAACAGACACATATTACTTCCATTATAAGAAAAGGATTATCATTTTAAAAATACTTTTGAAGAGTTGTCAAAATGTCTCCAAGCATAAGTGGACACTCAACTCAGCAGATCTTTGTGCCTTATGTTTATTCTAAAGCAGTAGTTCTCAACCAAGGTCAATTCTGACCCCTGGCAGATGTCTGGCAATGTCTAGAGCCATTTTTGGCTGTCACGACTGAGTGAGGGGTGCTTATGGCAGCTCGTGGGCAGAAGTCATGGATATTGCTAGACATCCTACAATGCACAGGATAACCCTAAAAACAAAGAATTATCCAGCTTGAAATGTCAGTAATACCGAGGTTGAGAAATCCTGTTCTGAAAGATTAACTAGAATGAATAAGAACTTCTTCCCCACAGGCTGTTTAATCCTCAGCTTCTCTGCTATGACTGTTGACAAGAAGATAAACTAATTCTGACAGAAACACGGCCAGCAGTCTATGCTGGATTGGCCTAATTCGATTCTCTTCACGTTTCCAAGTCAACTTCAGATATAGAGGGTCTCAATGCTTCCCCGGATCACATTCTAAATGCAGCTGTAGAAACCAGAGCATACAGCTATCTCTTTATGTGAAAAAGCCATGTTCCCTTCAGTCAATATTTTATCCCTGAACATTTTAGTAAAATGGTAGTTTATGATAACAAATTACTAGACGCTCTAAATGTGTCATATTTCTCTTTATTCCAATGCCATAAGCAAAACTCCATTTTCTTCAAAGTCTCTTTCAATAAAAACATAATATTATTTGCCAAAGGCAAGATTCCAGGGACTAAAGAGAGTGCTGTTTCTTGGATCTTAATTCCATCATCTGGGCAAGCTTAATTTATATACTAGAATCTCTCTGTCTGTCATGGAAATTTTTAAAAACAAAAGAAGCAGCAGAGACAAGCCAAAGCAATGGTAAGTTAGAAGTATGAGAACTGCAACCACAGAATGAATGCAAAGTCAACAAGAAAAGCACGGATTTTTTCACAAATGGCAAAAGAGCCTGAGAAGTGGGAAGAAACATTCTGACCTCACTGGTCAGTCATAAGGCTTAGACCCCACAGCAAATATGTATCAGGAGGCACACAGAGGGCTACGGCCGGAAAAGCCTGGGGAAGGGGAGATTAGGAAAATAAATGATTCATTTCTCTGAAATCCTAGAGTCTGGTTCTAGTTCACTCTAGTTCCAGTTTTTTTCTCATCCTCTGTCTTTATCTATGGATCAAAAGCACATCAAGGGTAATAAGCCCAAAAACTCAGCGTGTGAACCCAGAGGATTTTTTGAACTAGGAATCACCATGCAGCTCTGCAAGGTATCTTACTGTTATTTTATAGTACTCTACATTTATAGTATACAATCTATAAAACCAAACCAACAATAACATTCCAACATACGTGAGAATTTGGTTCCAAAGTGATTCTTGAATAAGTGTAAGGAAGTTCTCCATACCATGCTGTAAGTCTTGGTTGCTGGTAAGTTACATCTAAGAAAGAAAATACAGGGCCTTTGAAATGGTTTGATGCTATTTAAGGTGTACCTATTGAGTGCCAACACCATGCTTTGCAATGTATAAGAAGCTATGAGAAATACAAAGGAAGAGTAAGGACGGGCCCTGACCCAAGGTTCCACCTTCACAGAGGGCGTGGGATTTCAGGAGTAGAATGGTGACAGCTAAAAGGAGGACGGCAAGAGAAGGTACACTGGCAGAAACAGTATGGGTGAAGCTCTGAGGTGAGAATGTGTGTGACTTATTTGTGTCAGTGATGACATAAACAAGAGTGAAGGAGACACAGCGCAGATTAGGGAGGGTCTAAAATGCAGGTTATGGAGTCTGAATCCTTGTAGGTAGGAACTTGTGGCACCAACATCCATACAAGAAACAAGACAAACTGTTCACCCATGTGCCACCCTTGTGTAAGCCCTTTTGATTCCAAATGAAGAAAAAAGTGCTCTGACCAATCACAGCATGTAGCTAATTTTAGTCAGAAGGTTTTGATGTCCAATTTATTTAGAGAGGGAGTTACCCATAGATCTGCTATTTTTCCTACAATTGATTTCAACCACTACAACAATAAAAACAACAATAATAAAAGCAGCTAACATTCACTGAAGGCTTACTATGTAGCAGGCATTCTGTTAAGTACTTATCATGCACTATCTCATTTAATTATCACAACAACCATGTAAGATAGGTATCAATATTATTATTCAATCTATTTTACAGATCAGAAAATCAGAAAATTATTTAACTGTAATTTGTTTAAAATTAACAATTATTTTGAAAGACAGAGCCAGCAATCAAAGCCAAGTCTGTCACCAAAAGCCCTGCTGTAGAAACTGCTGGGAATTAGAAGGCTGCCCTGAAAGAGCTGACTCTCATTCTGACACCTGAGTTACAAAAATGATGCCAGTATACTTTGCCTCTTTCTCCACAGAAAATTTAAATTCACTCAATGTGCCAGAAAGGAAATTCTATGCTAGAGCACAGGCGCTCCCCAGTGACCGCCTCTGGTATAGCAGGTACTGTTGCTTGTGGATGACCACAGAGGAGCCTGTTCCAAGTCAGGTAATCTCAACAAGCTCAGTAGAATACTACAGACGCTGAAGCTAAGGGAGACTGGACTCTTCTAGTGAAACTAAAATGAGAATAAAAAGCTGATAAAAAGGATCACAAAAGAATATATGCCAAATAGAATCAGGAAAAAAAAGCTCTGGAGGTTTCTATGAAGAAAGAGGAAAGCTGGCACCATTTGCAGTAATAAATAGTGAACAAACACAAAAGGAGATAAGCATATCAACCACAGTTCAGTCAAACCAAACGTCCTTTGCTTCCCTGAACACCCATCTTCTGCCATGTTCTGAGAACCACTTGCTGCTTCTTCTGCCAGGTACACTCTTCCCTGTCCCCTTTGACAGGCTAATTCTCACTCATCCTGAGGCTTCCAGTCAGGTTTTGAATCTCTGTTTAAATCTGGCTGTGGTGCAAAGAAGCAACGGTGCAAAGAAGCAACGGTATTGGAATACATTCCGGAAAGGAAGACCAAACATCAACTGTGATCTCAGAGATCTACTTACCCTCTCTGATGCCAGTCCTCTGTTTCCAGGGAACATCCTGACAAAGCTGTTCAAATACTGAGTCGGCTTCTTTTAAGTCAACAAAGCCAGGATACAAACACACCCTTGATGCAGAAAGAACAGTTATTAACTAAAGAACACAGAAAAAGATGAGTTAGACTCTAATCATTAGCAGAATAAATTAATCTGGATGATGCTTCCTTTCGTGGGGAGATGAAATCATCTTACCACACCTCCAGAGCTTAATATCACCCAGATCACGATGCTCCAGATGTAAAATAAACCTCTTTCAAGTTAAGACAAATAAAAGAGGCAACGAAGGATAAAGAGGTACATGACAGCTTTCATAGCTATGGTTCAAATATTACCCAAGCACTGCTTAGCTGTGAAACCTTGGACAAGTTACTTAACCTCTCTGAACCTTGGTTTTTCTCATCTGTAACACAAAGATGATCTCCACCTTATAGCATCACTGTGAAATGTAGAATAACTAATAAAATGCTTGGCCCTGTGTTACTTTAACAATTGGTAGTCTTCTAAGACTATGCTAATTGTAGGGAAAGCAATCATTTATAACTATCAAAATAAACATATCCAAATGAGGGTTCTTTCTCTCATTGAATATACACTTATTTCAACAGTGCCAAGCCAGCTCAAAATTGTTTTGGCTATCTTTTTTTTTTTCTCCTTTAAACAGCTTTATTGAGGTATAATTTACATGCTGTAAAATTCAACAAAGAATAATGTCTTCAAGGTTTATCCATGTTGTAGCACATTATCAGAACATTTCTTTTTACGGTAGAATAAAATATTTCATTATATAAACATACTGCATTTTCTTTATCCATTCACCAACGGATGGACATTTGAGTTGTTTCTACTTTTGCCTACTATGAACGCTGCTATGGACACTCACATGCAAGTCTTTGTGTGGATATATGTTTTCATTTCTCTTGGGTAAGACACCTAGGAGTGAAGTTGCTGGGTCATATGGTAAATGTATGCTTAACTTTTTAAGAAACCATCAAACTTTTTTCTAAAAGGGTTGTACTATTTTACATTCCCACCAGCAATACAGGAAGGCTCTAATTTTTCCACATCCTCATTTATAATAACACTTATTATTGTCTTTTTGATTATGGAAATTCTAGTGAATATAAAGTGGTATTTCATTGTGGTTTTGATTTCTGTGTCCCTAATATACTATTTAATTTTAACAATGCATTTGGCTTTTTTGGATACCTTTCTTAAGAAATGTTCTGAAAGCCCATGGAACACTCTCTTCAACAGCCTTGTTGGTAGTAAATTTTCACTCTTTAAAGGTACATTTAATTTTTTTTAATAAGTAATTTATTAATTAATTTTAACCTGTTGTCCAATTTAAAATGTTTGCATCTGAATTATTACTTTTTTCCAGTTTTACTAAGATATAATTGACATACAGCACTGTGTAAGTTTACAGTGTACAGCCTAATGATTTGGCTTACACATATTGTGAAATGATTCTGTGAAAGAGCCAAAGCTCACCTGAAGCCATACCAGGTTAACAACCAAAATAATGCAGATGAGATGTGACCAAAATAATGCAACTGGTTTTCTTGTGTGACTATTAAACTTGCTTTAAAAGGGAAGTTCTGAAAAAGGCTATAACAATAGCAGTGCCAGCGGACTAATTATAGAGGCTTCCAAGTCCAACAGCAACTCTTTCTAAGCAATTCATTTAGATAGATAAGTTCTGATTTATTTAAATGTCTCATTATTTTATAGTGACATGCATTAAGGTGATGCTTTCAAAATGTTCTGAAACAATGACTAATGCCTAATATACCCTAAATCATATATGCTTTAATTTTATTGAAATCTACCTTTATATAGCAATATGACATAACTTAATATAATTATATATAATAATGTATGATTAACATAATATGTAATAATATTGGATTGGCCAAAAAGTTCGTTCAGTTTTAAATAAAAATAAAAGACACATTTTCCACTTTCACCAAGAACTTTATTGAACAACGTATTCACTAACCGAACAATCTTTTTGCCAACCCAATACATACAACGTAATCTAACAATAATAATAATAATGTAACACAAACAGCACAGAAGTTGAGGCCAGACCCAACTCTAATATTAAATTACTCTGTAGCCTAGGAAAAAGTACTCAATCTCCCTGGACCTCATTTCCTCACCTGAAAAACTGGAAAAGTAAGCTACTATACCTGAGAGGCTTTGAAAATGTTTTGAAGCTAGTATAAAAGGAGATATTACCACATTAATTACTTTAATCAAGGGAGTAGAATATTTTAAGAGACTATAACTCAGTGATAATTATAGTCCCTTTCTAGTGAGGATTCACTTACCTAGATACGCCTGTGGGTGACAGGCTGATTTCATACACACCCTCTTTACTAAAGAAACAAAGAAAACAAAGACTTGTTAGTGTCAAGCAAAGCAATATACTGCACGTAGCGGAAGGAAGGGTTGTCCTGCAGAGTTCACAAAGTCCTAGCTCACCAAAATCACTTCACGACGAAGGCGCACTACGAGGGAAGTACAGCCCCACCTTCTTCTAACACTTAGGTAAGGGGCAACAGTGTGGTAATCATTAATGGCACTGGGATTGGAATCCTGACAAAATCAGGCCATGGAGGCAAAAACCAAGACAATATAAATTCTAGTGCTATCCCTTTATATTTCACCCATAATTCAGGCTGATGTGGTGCAGGAATCTATCACACAAAGGGGTGGCAAATAGAGTACCCCCTTGGAGACTCTGGAATAGAGATACATTGAACAGAAGCAAGTACAAGGTCCCCATGAGCTAGCTCCACCTCCTGACAGTTCCCACAGACGCATCAGCTTCCACAGTAATTACTGCTGGCAATCTTCTGAATACACCACCACGTGTCTAACCCCATGCTTTTCTACATGCTGGCATGTCTCCCCGCCATCTAGCACCCCCAATCCACCACCCCCAGCTTTGGTCCAGTGGAAAATTCTAATTCATCCTTCAAAATCTCAGCTCAGCATCACCTTCTCTAAACCTTTCCTGACCTGTAATCCAGGCAAATACTGTTAGCTATCTCATCCTCTGTCACCACACCACATTACCTACAAGTCTACACTTCCAAGATATCCAGGATTACACCTTATCTGACTACATGTCTATTTCATTTACTAGACTATGGGCTCCTGAAGGGCTGGAATGGGTTTTCTGTTTCCTAGTGCCTGGCACATAATAGATGAGCAGTAAAAAGCTTACTGAACTTAATCAAATGTGCAACAGTACAAAACTGTTACAGATGGGCAGGGTAGTGAGGTCTATAACCCACCATGGTGAGAAAAGTGACCCAGACTGGAGAGGTACCTCTGTCAAGATAACTGTGTCAGGCAGCCCGCTCCCCTCCGGGGAGGCGAGCCCAGCCGAGAGCCGGCTGCCCAGCCCCTGACCAAGATTTTAAACGGGCAAGTTTTGTTTCGGAGACCCCCATGACTTTAGCTTCGCTGCCAGGAGGAGAGCCGACCTGCGATTTGGGAGTTTGAGGAGCTGGTCTTGAACTTGATGAGTAAACCTTTGCATGTTCTGAACGAATGGATCGCCTGTCTAACAAATTCTACCTCCTAATGCAAACTGTACGGAGACCAGTTGTTTCATATGGAATTAATATATGTGATCAATCGTACCATTTAAAAAAATGCTCTGCATCCCACCGCATCCTAGCAGGGGCCCAGGCCCCTGGTGGGTGGAAATGTAGTCTTCTCTTCCGGATCACTAAATGTGGTCCAGATTCAAGGTTGCACCGGAACATTTTCTTACTCTGTTAGGGGATCTACACTGGAAACATCTCTGAAGCCCTCTCAGCATCCTGTCTGTGGCCTACTACACGGTTGCACTTAACTTTCACAAAAAGGAGTACACAGAATAGCTGCGTAAGGCCAATCCCGAACTTAATGAAGGATGTCAGAGTGGGAGCATTCTGATGTGCCAGTGTCCTCATCCTGCAGTGTGTTCGTTTTCTCCCCTTTCCGAAAAAAATGGTATTAAAATATTTTGTGAAATAAGAAGCTCCTTTTACATTTTTAATGACCAACATGCACATCTGTTCTAAAGAATACAAAGTCCTATGGTCTTGAAGAAGGAAGCACCCATTTAAAACTGACCCTGAATAAAAACAGACCTGAATGGACGTCAGAATGTTTGTTAGTGGCAGGAGAGTAAAAAAATGGCAATTTATTCAGTTATTTGCCACTTGTTTTGTACTAAGCCTCATGTTCTTCTGGATACCGATCGATAACCACATCGTGAGCCACATGAAGTCCTACTCTTACAGATACCTCATAAATAGCTACGACTTTGTGAATGATAGCCTGTCTCTTAAGCGCAGCGAGGATGGGGCTCCTCGCTACCAGTACTTGATAAACCATGAGGAGAAGTGTCAAACACAAGACGTCCTGCTCTTACTGTTTGTAAAGACTGCTCCTGAAAACTACAATCGCCGTTCTGCCATTAGGAAAACATGGGGCAATGAGAAGTATGTTCGCTCTGAACTTAACGCCAACATTAAAACTCTGTTTGTCTTAGGAACACCTTCTGACCCACTGACAAGAGAAAGACTTCAGAGAAGACTGGTTTGGGAAGATCAGATGTACAATGATATAATTCAGCAAGGCTTTGCTGATTCTTTCTATAATCTTACTCTTAAATTTCTTCTGCAGTTCAGTTGGGCAAATAGCTTTTGTCCACATGCCAAATTCCTTATGACTACTGATGATGACATATTTATTCACATGCCAAATCTTATTGAATACCTTCAGAGTTTAGAACGAATTGGTGTTCAAGACTTTTGGATTGGTCGTGTTCATCGTGGTGCCCCTCCCGTCAGAGACAAAAGCAGCAAATACTATGTCTCCTATGAAATGTACCAGTGGCCGGCTTACCCTGACTATACTGCAGGAGCCGCCTACGTGATCTCTGGTGATGTAGCCGCCAAAGTCTATGAGGCATCACAGACACTTAACTCTAGTCTTTACATAGACGATGTGTTCATGGGCCTCTGTGCCAATAAAATAGGGATAGTACCACAATACCATGTGTTTTTCTCTGGGGAAGGTAAAACTCCTTATCATCCCTGCATCTATGAAAAAATGATGACATCTCATGGGCATGTAGAAGACCTTCAGGACCTTTGGAAGGATGCCACAGACCCAAGAGTAAAAATGATTTCAAAAGGTTTCTTTGGTCAATTATACTGCAGAATAATTAAGATAGTCCTCCTTTGCAAACTGACCTGTGAGGATACGTATCCGTGTAGGGCTGCCTTTGCCTAATAGTACTTGAATGTTGTATGTTTTCACTGTCACTGAGCCAGACGTGGATGAAAAAACCTTTAAATGTTTGTCTGTACCATAAGTGAAATGAATATGAAGAACAAAGAAATATTTTGAAAAAAAAAAAAAAAGATAACTGTGTCAGATTCTTCTCACAGAGATAAGTTATAGAGAATAACATAAAGGGACAGTATTTCCATCGCCCTTTTCCACGTGAGTTAGCAGTTCATGATCTTTGAGCTGGGCTCTTAGGTAGATGTGTGAGCCGCTCTGAGCCAAAATGTAGGCAGAGTTATTATCGTAAACATTTAGCACATTTCAAAATGAGCTGCCTATAAAGCTTCCTAGAGTGTGAATATAATATTTCAGTGTGCTATATTTTGGGCCACATTTAGAAACGCTCACTTCAAATGTGAGGGACATTTCTGGCTATTAAAAAAAAAATCTAGAGACTTCCCCAGATCCCCTTCCACTTCCTGGCACGGTGGTCAAGAATCCGCCTGCCAATGCAGGGGACACGGGATCAATCCCTGATCCGGGAAGATCCCACATGCCACGGAGCAACTAAGCCCGTGAGCCACAACTACTGAGCTTGCCCTCTAGGGCCCGCGAGCCACTACTACTGAAGCCCACGTGCCTAGAGTCCGTGCTCCGCAACAAGAGAAGCCACCGCAATAAGAAGCCCATGCACCGCAATGAAAAATAGTTCCCTCTCGCCACAACTAGAGAAAGCCCGTGCGCAGCATCGAAGACCCAATGAGGCCAAAAAAAAAAATCTAGCATAGTTAACTTCAGATAAACAGAATTAACAAACCCTATGGTCAACGAGGAATGAGTACTGTCATTTTCTTCTCTGACTTGGAAATTCACAATTGTCCATTTTTTTCAACCTGAATGTCCTATCTGTAACAGGTTTCATGGTTTTGTTTCTCCTTTTTACCACCAAATGGAGGCAGTATCACATTTGTGTTTGCAAAACAAAGACTGTTAGAGCTACCATACTGGGTCTTAAGTGATTATACAGTCCAAACCCTTAATACTACAGACAAGGAAACAAAAGTCCAGAGAGATAGCAATAACTTACCTAAGGACTAGGTAAGTTACCATATCTAACTAATGGCAAGGCCACAACTACATACCCTCTTTGAAAGTATGATGACATCTGTGTTCGTTTAAAATTTTTCTAAGATATACAAGTCAATCTGCAAACAGCCAAACAGCTTAACAGTTGTTCACGAGCAATAGCATACACATAATGCTAATTTGCTAAAATAAAAGGATGCTTTCTACTGATAATTTATCTGCATCAGATGGAAACTGAGAAGCAGGAAAAGAGGAATCAAAGCATCTTTCATCATTTTGGAAAAGAGTATTTTAGACACAGATCACTATAAGAGAAATGTTTACTATCATTTAATTGCTCTGGAAGAGTTATGTGGTTTTAAGAAATGAACTGTAAGAGCATCTAAATTTCTAGCAGTTTTCTTAAGCACTGCTAGTAAAATGATACTTACAGGTTTTTCAAAGAGCCACGTTTCAATGACTCAGGAAAAAATCCCTCTCTGTCTTTACCTAGGAGATGTTTTAACTACTATCTGCAGACATATTAGTGAAATAGGGTCTGGATATCTACACCAGAGCCAAGAGTTTAATGTACAGATATCTGGTTGCATTTCCCACACCATCTGCAAATTCAGAAAGGCTTCTCAAAAGACCAAGTTTAAAGACATCTGAGACAGGAATATCCCAGCCTAAAATTTAGACACATTGGCCATTATCTTTTCCAGATGGAAAAACCAGGGTGAGGGAAAGATCCTGGACTCTCCCTTTCACTGTGGGCAATAGTTACAGGAGGGCAGCAATTTACTTACTCGATCACTTGTGGCTCTGGGGCTCTGCGTACCACCTGCAAGGAAAAAGCCAGGTCTGATTTCTGAATGATTCCTAATCCTCAGGGAGGCTTACTTGCAGGATTACTGTACCCTCTCATTTCTAGTCAAAATAAATCAGGTTTAAACCTCTCCCTTTTTTATCCTAAGCTCTCACTATCCCACCAGAAACTCTTGTTTCTATTCTTCTTAGAACTACGTCACAGTTACTAGTGGGCAGTAAAAGATGACAAAATTAGAATTAATACATTTTCCTAGCAGTCAGCAGCTCTGGAAAAACCATCTTTCCAAGGGATTTTTTAAAATAGAAGATATACTAGGAAATAAGGGGTTTTAATATTACTTATATAATTATTACTACAGCAAGATGCCTGATTTTTAGCTCTTTTTCCCCATGTTATTAAAAAGTGACTCTTCACCCTTTCTTACATCCTTCCCAGTGGGAGAAAAAGCTAAAAAGATCAGGCATTGTAGTAGCTGAAATTTCAATCCAATTCCAGAGATATGTGCTATACTAGCAATTTTTAGGACCATTAGAACTTAGATAACTAATGCAAGCTCTAGTCATGGTATAACCTCTAACCTCTAGTCATGGTACACGTCCTTGCCAAAAAAAATGGGAACTATATATGCCTACAAATTGGGGGAAGACTACAAAGAATCCTCAGACATACTAAAAAACTGATACTCCATATTTCATTATTATTATAATACTTTCAACTCTCTTTTTATTAGTGAGTTTATTCTGTCACTATTTATTTGAGTGTCTACTATGTGACTGTTGCTTTTATAAATAAATCTTTGTTACTGTTGAAGAAGAAACAAGAATTTACCTCCTGGGGTTCTTTGAACACAAACTGTCTGTCAGACGGACGATGCTCCTTGTTCATCCAGGTTTGGCCAGGTCTCTGTTGGAGATGGTTCTCAGCAGTGGGAGCTGAAGCAAGAGAGAGAAGAGACTCAAACCTTAACATCAATTGAAATGGGAGTCCACTATAAACCAAAAGGATATATATAAAATAGGATGATACTTGTCCAGACAGACACACACACACACACACACACACACACACACACACACACACACACA